TGGAAACCACTCCCAAACTCGCGAAACTCCGAATCAATGATAACTTAAAAACCATCGATAAGATTGTGTCTCCAGTTATTCCTCAAGGGATTGGTTCAAAGCACAGACGCTTTGCGGACATCAATTCAAAAGCAGTTCTCAATTTGGAGTCATTTGCAGACAATAATGAAACAAAAGTGAAACCAATTGTTAAAAACAAGAATAAATGCAAATCAAAAACACCTCACTTTAGAGCTAAAGACGAGAGCTTTCGTTACGGAAATTATAACCGCTATTATGGCTATAGAAATGCCAATCAATTTGATTCTCGTCTCGAATGCCTTAAGAGAGAGTGGTTTGAAAACAAAGACATTTTGGACATTGGATGCAATGTCGGACACATAACGCTAGCGATTGCCAAGAATTTTGAGCCAAAAAAGATCATTGGTTTGGATATCGATAACTCTCTCATAAGAATTGCTAATAAAAACATTAGGCATTACATCACATCCAGTGTTCTTCGGACACAAGACTTTCCCATTTCATTACCTCTATTTCACGGGCCATTGGCCTCAACCGCAGCACACGATTCAAGCGATGATAAGCAGTGTTTCCCCCAAAATGTGTGTTTCATAACTGGAAACTATGTGTCGGAATGCGAAGAGCCGTCGAGTATTCAAAAGCAACAGTTCGACACAATTGTCTGCTTAAGTCTTACCAAATGGGTTCACTTGAATTGGGGCGACAATGGAGTCAAGACTTTATTCAAACGAATCTTCTCTCAACTCCGACCCAACGGTAAACTCGTATTAGAAGCGCAACCCTTCTGTTCATATAAGAAGAAAAAGAAAATTAATGTATGTTTTCATTCAAATCATTGCATTTTACCATTTATTTATTGTCTATTTATTTTCTATTCCTTAGGAAACGATTCATAAAAATTTTAATGCAGTTAAGTTCAGACCCGAACAGTTCAATGAATACCTGCTTTCACGGGAAGTGGGGTTTAGCCAATCAGAGCTAATAGGGACGCCCGAAAACCCATCCAAAGGTATGATTTCGTAATTTGTTTTGTTGTAAGTTTTGATTTGTAAAAATGAATTTCTATTTAGGTTTTCGGCGACCATTATATGTGTTTACAAAATCTGGTGTTTGTTTTGAAAAAGAGTGATTTGTTGTTCCGGTTGCGTCTCATTCATAGAAACTCATTAAACTATTATCATTTATATTTTCTCTAAAATTCATTGCTTTTATGTATTAAAATACAATTGTATAGAAAACAAATGATATAATTTTTTTGTGCAGTAAATAAATTTTAAATTTTTTTCTAAGGTTTATGAATATTATTGTCAAAGCTTTGATTTCTTACCATAGATTCAAGACTTGGATTAAACAATGAGTTCACAAACAGATCTGAAATCGCTATTAGAAAGTCTAAACCATTATATGGACAACCATTTAATGGAAATGCGGGTAAGAAATGGTATATTTAATGAAGCGATTGATTTAATA